TTTTAGAAGACTTTCTAAAGATATTTTAGAGGATATGGCATAAGTTAAGGAATAATCAATCTCAACCTGGCACATAACTAAATGAAACAGTTTTGCATCCTTTAGGCTACATCTATACTTTCTTGTGATCTGCTTCAGGGAATAATTGCTGAATTATTGTTCCAATTAATCTGGAGCAGTGTGCATCATCCCCATTCATGACTAACCCCTTCTAAAACCAATTTGCTATATCTACACTGCATAACACTTGGAGCATCGCCAGCTGAGAACATATTCCATAATCTGCTGTGCCAACTTAATGCAAGCACCCTTCAGTATGCCACGCTACCCATCTGTCTGTCCTCACGTGCCACATGCTTGCACCATCAAGTTTCAAGATTAGCCATATGAAACCAACCTCTGCTCGGAGGTCCTGGATACAATAGGCTGCACCTGCAGCTGCCACTGCTGCATCCCCAGTGTGATAAATATTACCATCTTGTCAGGTTTGCCACTGGGTTGGCCTTGTCCTCCTATAACCAAGGTAAGCTTTAGGATATGATATAAATGATCAAAAAAATATCTTTAAAGAAGAAATGATGTTGCACTGTGGCTCAAGGAGCCCAAACTTGGACATAGGACTTCAGGCATGGTCTTCTCAATTGTGGAGTAGAAGGATCACTTCCCTAGACTTGGTTTTCTTTGCTGCCACTGTGCACTGCTGGCTCACATACAGATTGCTGCCTACTTAGACACTTAGGTCCTTTTCTTTGGAGTTGTTTTGAACAGACAGTTCCAGAATGCACAGTTGTGGTGGGTTATTTATCACCAACCACCACACCGCCTGCCTCCCCCATGAACCATGTTTCCCATCAGATGCAGCTGCCTCATAACCTGCCATCAGTGTCCAGGAGGCAGCTCTCTTCTTCCGAGCCTACCCTCTCCCTGCTGAAAGCCACCCACGCCTTTCCTCCCCTGACAGTGGTGGGTATCTGCCCAACCAGTTCCTAAATGACCATACCCTGGGGGCAGCATGGAGGAGCCTCATGAGGGAGCTTCCAGCAACATTGATGGGTATTGACCCCAATACTGGATATGCAAATCCCTGGGAGCCAGCCTCACAGCAGGTAGCGACAGAGATGAGAGAGGGCTGGAGAAGGCAGACTGCTGTCGGTGGGTTTGTGAGGGACAGCTGGTTCTGGTTCCTGTCCCTCGTGTGCCTGTTGGATATGAGCAGGCTGTGGGATGTCCAGATGGCATTTCTTTCAACTACCTTGTGAGCCTGTCATACTTCTTCTGTGACAGGCAGGAGCTCCTGACATGCTGAGGAAACAATGCTTCCGTGGAACAGTGGTGTTGAACAAGGCTCATGGCTTTTTCCCACCTGGATCCTTGGCCCAGCTTAGTGTATGGGTGTAGCTGGCTCCTGTCTGACCCATGTCCCCAGTGGGGGTATGGAATCCCACTCCCCTCCCTGTGGTGTGCCATTACTGGCAGCTGGATGACTCCAGTTATGACTTGGCAGCCTGTAAGCTGCTGGGAAGAGCCGCTCTGGCGGCATCTTCCCAGGTTTTCTGGGGAAAGGAAGATTTTTGTGATGCTCTGTAAAATCGCAAGGGAACTACAAGGGTGAAAGAAAGAAAACCTGTGAGAAGGTTTCTTGGAAGGGGATGTATAATTGCTGATTTACTAAGGGATGTGCAGGAGCAGCAGCACTTTTTCTCCTGGTGCATATGCTTGTGTATGCTGAGAGGGAGTAGGGGTGAATGAAGTCTTTTTTGTCCCTCCTTGCAATGACATTTTGACAAGTCACTTATTTACTTCATTTGTAGCTGCCCTTATGAAATGGTGATTATTCTGTTGTTGGATCTGACCACTTCAAATTTTACACATCCAGTTCAGGAAAAGATTTAATTTTTAAATAGAAATATCTATGCACTCAATGGTCTTGTGTGTTTGTTGTTCAGTGTCTTACAGAGACAGGGACAGCAGCTATTTTGATTTGGTATGTTTTTGACATTGCACACTTTCATTTTTCTGGTAGAATTTCAATCTTCTGGGCCCAATTAGGTTCTCACCTCTGGTGATGCTTACTTGAATCTCCAATCACTACTCTCTCAAGAACAAAGTGAAAGGAATATTGAAGTGACCTGACTTAGTCTTGAGTATTTGCCAGCAGCTGAAAGGGATACCCGTTTTCTCAGGTCTTAGTCACTAACAGTGTCAAAGGCTAAAAACCTGTTTGAAACAACTATCTGGTTTTTATATACAGTATATTCTGTTTTGGATACAATTTTGTCATTTAACCGTACAAATTATGCTTTGCATTTCATTCTCTCACAGAGTTTTCAAGGTAGTTTCTGTGACACTAAAGATCAAATGCCATGAGTGACAGTGCTATTACAAGCTTTGCTATATTCAAGATGTATCTGCGTATATATTCACTTACTATAACATCATTCCCTTTCTTTGAAAAACCTCACAAAGTATATTTTTTCTATACTAGTAAATACAATTGGTTTAGTTTATAAAAGCTTGCCAGTGAGTAGGTTGGGGGTGCACCAGAATCTGGGAGGAGATATAGCTGGGTCAGATGACCCCAACTGACCCAAGGGTTGTTCCATACCATATGATGTCATTCTGAGCAACAAAAGCTGAGGAAAAGAAAGAGGAAGGAAGAGACATTGGGAGTTATTGCTTTTGTCTTCCCAGGTAACCATTACACATTGATGAAGCCCCACTTTCTTGGAAATGGTTAAACATCTGCTTGCTGATAGGAAGCAGTGAATGAATCCCTTATTTTGCTTAGCTTTTTTGTGCAGCTTTTGCTTTGCCTATTACACTGTCCTTATCTCAACACACAAGTTCTCTAAACTTTACCCTTCTGATTCTCTTTCCCTTCCCACTTGTAGCAGTAAACCTGCATTATATGGGAAAACTGTTGTTTAAACATGTCTTAAAATGACTTTTTGTGGTCTCTTTGCAAACACATGCTTTTTCTTCCCAACACCCCCCACGACAAGTGTTATCCCATTCAGGAATGTCCTGAGCAGATACAGACCACTGTAGGGAGTGAGGAAGTGGCTGTGTGGAGCTTACCTGCCTCCTGAGCTTAACCCACAACAGAAGTAATTTTAAAAGGAGCGCAAGAGTTTAACATTTCAGTAAACTGCAGAATCAATACAGGATTGGACCTGAGCATACTAAAGCAAGTTCTTCCTAAATCTGATCAGTAGTGAAATAATTAATATTAACTTATAAATGGTCATTTTTATGTTTCAAAGTTAACAAGCAATAAAATGAATGAAGCAGTTTAACTCTGTTGTAGAGACTGCAGTGGATTAGCAGCAGAATTTGAATTAAAAAAAATCTATATATTAAAGTATGTAATACATCTATTGTGCATTATGCGGTTCTTAAAAACAGAAAAGCTATCAACATACTTGTTATGTTTTGAACAATTATTCTTACTGTGAATCATGAATACTCTGATTAGATGTCTTGCCAACAACTTGAAAAATATGCAGACTGTTTACATCTTAAAGACAGAGATCTTTTTTTCTTTCAGTGCCTCTCCTCATCAGTTCAGTTAAACAGTGAGTTTGGACTTCATGGGTCTGTAGTTTAAAGTATTATTAAGAATTTTGTTCTATTTTTGACAGTGTCTCTGGCTAAAGATCCGGCTTATCTTCATTGGAATGCCTGACAGGATTTCTTCATAAAATACTCCACAACAAGAAAATTTCAAAATGAAGTGTTCTTTGGAGACTTCACAGTCTCCAAGCCCTCATTACATTGCCATTTATACAATATGCTTCCTAATCACCAGGGTCACTTTGCTGCGAAGGTACATCACAAAGGGAAAGCAGTAAATCTCATCGAATATTTCACAACCCTCTCTGGCAATTAAAGTTTTAAATGGCATCTTCTCTGCATAGCCAGTAAAATGAGAAGAAGAAGGTAACTGCAGGATTGCTCAGATAAAATGAGCCAATTTCACGTAATATTTCACGTTGAGAGAAAGAACACACACTAAACTGAAAGACAATATACATTGTTATGGCACCTCACTGCGCAGCAACAAAAGTTTCTATGGAGTTCTACTGGCTAATAGGACAAAATACTTTTAGGAGCTCATTTCAAATATACTGAATTTCTTTATCATCTAAGCATTCAGAGAATGAAAATCCATTTTCTTTCTCTCTCTCTTTGAGAGATGCAGTATGTTGCCAAGGATCCCCCCTCTAACTGTGAAAGACCTTCACTGAATTCAGTCTGGACAATCTCTCCAGTGCTCCCATTTTCCATTAAACTTGGAACAGGATTATAACGTATGTCCAGCCAATTTTAGAAGTTTTCAATCCAATGAGTATGCTAACACTTTTTGCAGAAACATCATAAATGAGGCTAGAGTCATGGAAGCTAGAAGGTTGAGGATTTTCTTGAAAAGTACTTTTGCTCCCTCTATTTTGCATTCTTCAAAATGCTACAGAAAACCGTGTCAGTGCAGCTCTCTGTTTTAGTGCAGAAACAAGACAGCCGAACATTGTAACTGAGAATTATGTATCTAGATACTATTCAAATACTACATACATGTACATAAAAAATGTTAAGAGTTGTTATATATTCTGTAGGGATTTTTTTCTGAGATAACCCACTTAAAAATTGTGTATCTCCCATAAGAAATTAATATAGTTAAACAAAACCATTAAATTCCCAAAGCATGTTAATTTTAAAATGTTAAATTAAAATTTTGTTTTTATCAATTATTTTTAATTGCAGTATTATATTCCAGAGTTTCCTAACCTTCTTTAATGTGTCACTCAATTGTGTAATGACACGTCACTTTTTGGCACGGAAAACAAATATTCCCTAACACTATCAAAGTTATGAAATAGTCAATAAAACGGTATCATTTTTAAGTATAGATAATAATAATGAATCTTGGGTCTTTGCATCTGTTACTATTGTAGGAAACTCCATGATGCATATGAAGAAGAGGAATAAGATGCTTTGTTGTGCCACTGAACAGTTAGAAGTTACTCAAGACTTGAGCAAAGAGTAAGTCCTATAGAAACTTATAGTTGGTAGAGAACTGGTTTCAAGGTAAAAATGAAACATGAGGACTTTTCATATGACTCTAAAACACACTGCATGCTATTAGCTTCACATGCATGATTTATTGGATACAGATATTGTGGATGCCTCATCCCTGGAAGTGTTTAAGGCCAGGCTGGATGGAGCTCTGAGCAACAGGGTCTAGTGAAAGGTGTCCCTGTCCATGGCAGTGGAGTTGGAACTAGGTGATCTTTAAGGTCCCTTCCAACCCAGTCCATTCTATGATATATAGCTATATATGCTCCTAGCAGTGATGATTATAGCCATATTTTTCAAAAAGCAATAAAGCGCTTACATTAAAAATCAAAAAACAATTTCATGAAGTTATGTTTTTCATTCAATATTTATGATCACAAGAACCTAGGACTCTTTAAATCCTTTGAAAAGCCATTTTAGACTTAGCGTACTCTTCCATTCCTCCTGCCACAAAATTTGAAAAAAAATCTGAAGTAAAAGTGAATTGACAGAAGAAAAGAAAGCACAAATTCTCATAAAAATATTCTAGTTTTTACAATCTTGTCTTGCAGGATTAATGACACATATTTTTAAGTGTAATACATATCTAAGTATCTTTGAAAACCAGAGATAACAAACGCACTTGAACTTTGTGTTTCAAACTGTACTGCAAAGATATGCTACAGAGAATAGATGTGTGTTGAGTGCCAGCTGTGGTGGACACCAGTGTCACCAGTGTCATAGAGACTTAAGCGTCATGAAAAATGGTACTTCACTGTAGTCTTTTTCTTCATCTGGTGAATCTGCAGAGAATGTTGAAAAACTGTTCCAAAAATCTTGAAACAAACAAAAGATAAAAATGCTGAAACTGACAGGGTATTTCACAGTAGAGATAATGAAGGATTTCTTTTAAAATTGTGCTTCATACAGTGAAGTTTCACTCATCTGCGCGCCAAGTCCTGCAGACTCTGAACAGCCAACACATGCTGAACTACCAGACACAAGGAATACAGCAGACAAATTTCAGTGAGATAGTCAAACCACGGTAGTTTAGCATTCTTTACTTGCAAAATTATTTCAACTGGTTTGACCCTTATCGAAAAACTTATTATGCTTCTAGTTGAAAAAAAAAATTGGTAAAAATGAGGAAATTTAATTTTACTTCATTTTAACCCAAAAAGCATAGGTTTCAAAGGAATCTGCAAGCCAAGTGACAGGCTGACATACATACAGGGGCTATTCCTCAGTTGTGTTCCTTTGTGTTTTTCCTTTATGCTGTCTCTCTGACTACATGGGTGCTCCATAGCAAAGTAGAAATTAATTAAAGGCTCATCAAATGTGTCTAGGGCAGACCTTCTTTGTTCTCACTCCAACAACATGTTGATGTGACGTATTAGAGGATAATAAATATGCTAGGGAACAGCATTACTTGGAAAGAATGCATCTAAGTTTGTTATGGTGATGTTGCTTTGACACTTACAGCTTAACTTCCATATAAATAATCTAGTTTCTTTTCTTGTGTACTGGACTTTTACAATATCCTCTTCATATGCTTGATTCAGTATTCAGAGTTCTTAAAGCTTGGGAAAAGGTGTCAAAAAAGATTCCTAGGGTTTAGTTCTTCTCTAGTTGTTGTTGTACAGAATATAGCATAAACTTTCTGGCAAAAATGATCTCCTCTTTGAAGGTGGAAAACCACAAACACTTAGTCTGACACTATAGGGTCCTGTGCTATTGCAATATCCCTCTGCTTCTTTGAAAAGTAAGAGTAGAATTTGCTCTACCTCTGAGTGGTAGCTCTTATGATAAATTTTGTTACTATAATGGTTATGACTGTGTTAAACACAGTGTCCAGTCTCACAGCCTGACACTTGGGGATCATAAATGTAGCATCTCCAAGGAAAAAGAAAAGGCTATCATTGTCATTTAGCATGACATTAAGTTATCTGATGTTACTCCTGTGTGAAAATGTTATCTTTTGGGAATACCCAGGAACGGTTGGAGAGAGAAGGAAGAATTTCTTTGTAAAATGGTTAATCATTACAGTTTTTGCTTGCCTTTGAGCATTTGCACTCATAATTTTGTAATTAGCAGATTTAATTGCTTTCTGACACTGAGGATTAAATAGCCTACCCTGCTCTCTGCTCTCAGAGCCATTAGTGTGCCTGTTGCCAAGGTCAATTGAGTCCATTTCAGTACTATTTTTCATCTATTTCCCTCTCACTAAGTGAATACTCCAGGATGCCTAAGAACAGAGCATATATCAGGGCCCCATTTTGTCTGTACTGTCTACGGTAGACAATTTCAGGACAATCACACCCAGTTCTTTTACTCTGGAAGCAATTATTTATACTAAGATATCAACCAACAAAGGTTACAAATTTATCAGTGTTCAATACTTTTTTTCTGACACAGCGGCAATAAATAATAATTACAGAAAGCATGACAGAATCACTTGATCATAGAATCAGAAAGTAGAATTCAGCTGCAGAGTTAAATCCTATGTGGGTTGTTTAACTTTTCTTTAGTTTCCGATGTCAGGTATGATTAATTATATCTTCAATTTACCCTAATATTTACACCCATTTGCATGTTGTTTTAATCAGCCTTGAAGATGCTTGGAGCTGAGAGAAAAATTCTGGGGTTTAGTATGCTTTTTCTGAACTTCTTTGGTTAGCTTATTGAAATGAAATTCCTTACTACAGTGGTTCCCACATGTATGTCTCTGTGCCACGCTCTTTTGTATTGCCTAAGACATGCACTGGAGTTTAATACTGACTGTCTAAGTTTCTTACAATAAGAATGATGTCAAATTATACTATTACAAGGACTATTATCATTACCCTGAAACATATGGAGATATATCAAAACACAAAGTATTGAAATAAAAGCTTTCCACAGGAACAGCATGGCACAGATCATGATTTAATTTAACTCTCCAAAAACTAGTTTGAATTAGCACTAGGGAAAACTAAAAAGGATTTATTATATTAATGCATCACTTGAAGTGGCAAGACCAAAAGTAAAACCAAGAAAAATATTCTTTGCTCACAGGTAGAAAGGCAAAATTTGAGCAATTTTAATATATTTTTTTTAAAAAACTTTCCTCAAATGTGGAGAAGTGCTCTGGGATTTTTAAGGAAGTCTGTGGATTGTGAAAATTTACATGGATTTGGAAAGCAAACAAATTAATGGAAGAAAAATTCGTCTTGAACTCCTGAATACAAAATCTTCACCTCTAATTGCAACAGTCCTCAAATGGTAAACTGCTGGATTCTGGAAGAATATTCAGAGCATTCCTTGTCTTGTTGTTTTAATTTTATGCCCTTTCCACAATACCATGGATTGTTTTGTTCAAAGAATGTTGATTTAAATTGTGCCTGACTCTATTTTCTTGCAAATTACCTGGAAAGGAGAATAAATCTTAAAATGATTAAGTTTGCTCATGACAATTTCAGAATAGTATAGATGTGGACCATTATCACAGAATGACAGACTTTATAAAACTCAGTGTGTAATAAAATGAAAAATTATGTTTAGTGTAGATGGACATAAAATACCATCAAACAAAAATAAGACTTATTTTCATATGTAAAATGATGGTTTCAGAGCTGGCCATTACCAGTCAGGACTGAGATCACAGTCTTATGAATCACAGCTCCATAAAAGCATAAGTTTAGTATTTGACAATTGTGAAAAAGCAATAAAATGTTAAACATTATTAGGAAAGAAATATATTACAAAATATGGTTTAACAACTTCTTGGATACTGCATGTATAATATAGGAAATAAAGCTCAGATTGACTTATACAGTCATGGAGGACAGTGCACATAATTAGATGATGCATTGATTTTTCCCAGTACTTCCCCATATTTATGATATTATCTTTGGCTATGTAGATTAATGTATATACGGAGTTATTTAAATTAAGTTCAATGAGTAATCAAGAAAAGCATAGGTAAAAGTCATCATAGTACTTATTAATGTAATCAAGAAATACTGAACCTCTTTTTTTAACAGTCAATAGAAATTTTGGCCCTGTACATGGTGGCTAATTAATGTTACTTTGACTGTAAATTCATCAGTTCTAATCTTCAAACTAAGCACAGGCACATTATAATGCAACGGCTCTCTGTTTGACATTTTTGAACAGATGAGTTCAGGTGTATTAACTCTGACTGATTCTTGTGACTGTCCATGTTGACACAACTGTTGAAAAACTTTTATGTTAGAACATGTAAGACCCCAAGCTCCAAGCTATGAGCTCATCAAAGAGGTTTTACTTCAAAATATGCAAGGGTCCAAAAATTCATCAGATTTATTAAAAGGGCCTTCAGTTCTTTTATACCTTGAGAGGGTACAAGCGAGAAGGTACCACACACGTTTTCTCAGGAGGTAAAACAACACGCTTTTACTGACAAACTTTAGAAAATAAGGTAACTTGGCAAAAGTTTAATGGGCAACATTCAACCAAAATTAAGCATTACACAAAGTATTGACTTAGCACATACTAACCCATACAACTTAGCAAAATCCAACCCATCCAGCTTTAAATTACTCAAAATATCAAGAAAGGAGATTAAGAGAAGAAGTAAAGAAAAAGAGTGAAAAAGAGAGAATTATAGCTACCACCTGGAGTACCATGCAATTCCAGCTTCCCCATTTCCAGACGGTAAGGTCCAAACACATGAAGACCACATGTCTTTATTTTTATCTGCTCTGGCCCCCCTTGTGACTACCCCCCAAGGCAGGACTCCTGGCCCACTGGCCATTCTGGGGCTCTGGGGCAAGGCATGGGCCAGTGCTCCTGGTGTGCCAGCCATTCTGGGGCTGGGTTAGGGGCTCCAGGGGATGTGGGCGAGTGCTCCTCAGCTGCTTTTGACTCACAGCTGATCCAATTCTGCCTCAGGAGGCTTGAAGGGGCTAGGATGTGGAACGGGGCACCACCTCACCTCCATGAAATTTGTTCTGCCCCTTCCCTTCCCT